GGGGGGGGCACTGATTGGTTGACCTGATGGATAGCCCCTCATCAGAGCTAAACAACAATGGAATGCTGAAGCTCCTGTGTTTAGCAGTTTTTGAGCTATAACCATTTTTGCATATCCAGACACCCCTTTTTCAGATAAATTGGGGGTCCGGAGTGTGGGGGGGGACGACTGATTGGAGGGTCTGATGGATAGAGCTTCATCAGAGCTAAACAACAAAAGAAATCTGAAGCTTTTATGTTGAACGTTTCTGAGTTATAAGCATTTTTGCATGTGCAGACACCCTCTCTTTGGATGGAGCCCCCTCCTCAAATATGAGGTCTATCCTAAAACCGTTGGCTGTTGCAGTGTAGGTCAGACTCATCTACAGCCCTGCCAAATTTCATGTTGATCGGTGCAGCCGTTTTTGTGCTACAGTTGACCAAAAATCACTGAAAAAAAATTAAATAAATAAATAAACAGTATGAAAACAATATGACTCCCGCTTACGCTTCGCGTGGGTAAAAATTAGTATCGATGCTTGGACTGATATGCCCACCCCCTGACCCACCCTTACTTATATTTAAAACTGAAATATTTCTGAAGTAACTGTGTAATAATCTAAGTTAAGTAAACACACCTACAGTTTAATGTATCAACTGTCTGATAAGCGTAAACAGAACCAATATCTAAAGAATAGTTAAATGGTCCCTATGGTAACCACACCTGTCTGTTACTCCCTGACTCAAACCATGAGAGGCAAATAAAAACACACCAAACCATCACTGTGTGAAATCTATGTCAGAGCTTGTGATCTCTGATGAGCACACCGCAGCCTTTTTATGTTTTTGCAGTGTTTTATGCTCACAGACAAGGCTTTAGCAGTTTCCCTGTCAATTTGTTTGCAAATGTGATCAATAATATAAAGAGTGAAATATGTTAAACACATCAGTTCAGTAATCCAACTTCCTGCCTTAAAGTAGGATCTTTGTCTCAAACTCACTCTGGACAGGTCGCAAGTCCATCACAAGGTTAGTTTAAACAGTTATATATAAATAATTTGTGTGTTTGTCTAATATTGGCAAGTATTGGTTATTGACCATAACAGCAATATTAATATTGGATATCGGTATCGGCTGAAATTTTCATTTCGGTGCATCCCTATCTCAAAGTGGCCCACAGGCCGGCAGTTGTAGCAACACATTTTCTTTTTTAGCCAAGGAGCAGATCTCTTGATTGCAAAGGTTGCAGACTGCAGAAAAGAAATAGTTTGAGTAAGAAGAGTTTGCAAAATATTTGAAAAATTAAGACGATTCAAAAGTCAGTGTGACATCAACACATGTAAGTTAACTGTTGACTGTGGAAACAGTTGTTTAAAAAACATTTAAAAAATCAAAAAGTCAGTTCAAACATGGAAAGTCCAGTTTAAACTTTGAATACAAAGTCTGAGCTGGGCTTTCTTGTCTTTTGCTAAAATCTTGGTGAGCTTCATTATTTCTTTTAGTTTTTACCAAGTTTTGTACATGCAGCATACAGCTGCTAAAAGTTACACCACCCTTTGACCAAATGAGCTGAATGTTTAGGTGTATAGTTTTGATGTAGTTTTAAAAGCTGCACAACAAAATACAGGACAAAATAATAGCAGCATAGTGCTTCAATCCATTAGCATCCTTAATCCAAACAAGGGAATAGCGTGAGGTCTGAAGTACTACATGCTGTGGTTGTTCTGAACACACCTTGATGTGGTAGTAGTGACTATAGAAAGGATTTTATCACACAAGTACAGGTGGTTCAGACGTCAGCAACAAATCTTATCAGCTGAAGTGTCAAAAAGGTTTTTCAGTTCTCCATCAGCTCAGTTGTGCATTGAGTGAGGTTGTTGTGTTGTACTGCTGAGGTGTCCCACAAGGATGTCCACAAATAACACAGTCACTGTTGCAACAAGACTTTGTTACATAATAAATGAGTCACTATCTGGTAATAATGCCAAGAAGTTCAGCTGCTTGAAAGCCACAAGATAAAGCTGTCCTTTATAAAGCTTTACTGATATGTGGGTGAAAAACCTGAACAATGTGAAGCTAACCTTTTTTGTTTGCTTACACTTTATTATAGTTTAATATATCCATATTTATTTTATTGCACTATAGTTTGGGGAAGTACTTTCCCTTCAACTCTACTAAAAATTTTGGTTCTTCAAAAACGCTTTGTTAGATTTGCAACTCGATCAGATTTTTTGTCCTTCTACCCCTCTGTTTAGAGCTCTCCAGATTCTTACAGTCTTTAACATAAACATTTTTCAAATTTGTTTTTATTTATAAGATTTATGAAAAACAAGAGAGTATACCAATGCACTTTATCCATTATTATGACCCCCCGCATGCGAAGCGTAAGTGGGAGTCATATTGTTTTCATACTTTTTTTTTCCAGTGATTTTTGGTCAACCGTAGCACAAAAACGGCTGCACCAATCAACATGAAATTTGGCAGGACTGTAGAAGAGTCTGACCTACACTGTGCCAGCCAACGGTTTTACGATAGACCTCATATTTGAGGAGGGGGCTCCTTTCAAAGAGGGGGTGTCTGGACATGCAAAAATGCTTATAACTCAGAAACTGTTCAACATAGGAGCTTCAGATTTCTTTTGTTCTTCAGCTGTGATGAAGCTCTATCCATCAGGCCCACCAATTAGTGCCCCACCCCCACCTCCCAAAAAAAGACCCCCACCCAAACCACTACAATTTTTGGATGAACCTAGCAGCATGACATTTATTAGGAATAAAGATTTCTTAGTTCTGGTGCATTTGTGCATGCGGGGGTCATTATGTTACCACTTTGCGGTATCTAGTTTTAAATTAAATTCACAATTTCATTCTTACTTCAGTCGTTAGAGATGCACGACATATTGGTACTGATATCAGTATTGGCCGATATTGGCAATTTTTTAGAATATCGGTATCGGTCCGATATGAATAACTGGGCTGATATCAACATCCGATATTGATTTCCCAAGTGAAAACACCCAAGTGTGTTTGTGCGTATTTGTATAATATAATTTGTGTGTTTGTGTAATATTGGTAAATATTGGTTATTGGCCATAACAGCAATAATTATATCGGATATCGATATCAGCTTAAATTTTCATATCGGTGCATCCCTATCAGTCGTCAAAGTTCAGCACTTCTTCTTCCTAAATGTCAGACCAGAAGAGGTCAGTTTTCTGTCCGATATAGGGGAGCAACACTTTGGAATGAATTTTCTCATTTAGCAAAAACACAGGCCTACTGTGAAACAGTTTAAAAGTTCTTTAAAACTGTACTGAACTAAAGTGTTGTGATTGTGACTTTTATTATTGTTTTATATTTTGTTGAAATTGTCATTTATATTTTTAGGTGGTAATTCTATTTACTGTTTATTTTTTATTGCACTCACATTTAATTATTTGTTTTATTTTTATTATTATTTTGATCATTTAATAAGTGATTTAAATAATTSATTTAATRATTTTAWTGTTGGTTYAATGTATTTTGTTTTTGGTGGAGGCTTTATATAAGCCTACAGGGCTTTTTGCCTCTCCCTGCACTGTCATTATCTTTTTTTTCTCTCTCTCTCTTTGAATTGACGTATTTTTATTGTGCGAATAAACTAAACTAAACTAAACTAAAAACCCTCACGACGGACCTGGAAACAGCTGAGTGTTCCAGTCCAGCTACTGAATATGTAAATCTCCAACCTGCGGGCCTTCAGGCTGTCGGAGCAGAATCGATCTGTGCAGCTGCCCATAAATGTTCTGTTACTCCAGGATATACAGCTCCATCTGTCTTTATTGTTCTCATACTGCTTGTGTTCACCACGCCACACTGCTGAGGTGAGTATAATCTGTGGTCAGAGCACAGGTACGGTACCAGGCAGTGATGGGTTCATTCTCCTTGTTTTTTCAGACAAACTGAAACCAGTCATCTCTGAACAGGTGAGACCCTGTTGATCTGTTAACACAGTAACTTCGGATTATTTGGAAGAAGTTATTTTGGTTCATTTGGTGAACAACAAAATGTGACGTGGCAGTTTGGTGGTGGTATTTGTAGGGCGGGCTAACATATATAATATATACTGTAGATATAAAATAAAACGCTGCAGATTGGATTCCAACAGAAACATCTCATTTGAAATAAAGAAAACCTGTTATGAATTTACATTGTCTTTTTCAGCACAAAGACAACTGTAAAACAAACCCTCACTAAAAACCAAGCTTACACAGAGCCTCTATCAGGTGTCCAATATTTAACCCCCTGCATTACAGCTTCCAACTAAAGTAAAAAGAGATTTGTTAGCTACACTAGCCGGTCCTTTTGCTGAAACTAGGTCACAGAAAAACTTTGTTTTGCCACTTT